ATAACCTCATCCTATCTATATCGGAAAGTATTTGTAAAGTTTTAGATTTATATCATTACGCAAACTGCAGAAATATTTGAACCCATGAAATTGCTTCGAAACAATGGGAAAAATTTCATGAAGCAATAAATTATTGAAAGAAATAAATAATTTGAAAGAAAATTGACCCGATACAGTGTATGATGAAAATGATTTAGTTGAAAATGAAAATTAATACCTTCCATCAAACAACGAAAGTCCAAGCGAGTCATCCGATACTGACAGTGAAGGTGAAGTACTTCGACGTTTGCCTAGAAAAAGTAAAAGAGTCCAAGTTTTTTCTAATTCTGAAAGTGAAAGTATCAGGATGTTAAAATATCTGTAATCGATCAAGATACTGAAATATCTGTTGACGGCACTATGACTGCAAGAGGGCTTAACACCAGGAAGATTATCAGTACACAACATTTTCAAAGAAATGTATGTCCCAACGGCATACTCGAAACGACATATTATGAAAGGTAGTGTAAGAATATCATTTTCTTTGATACTCTGCAATAGTGTTATGAGACATATAAAAATTTGTACTGGAGCAGAAGCTCATCGATTTCTGAATAACCATGACTGTACTGTATCGTTAGCAGAGTAGCGTTTTTAGGAATTTTATATGCTCGTGGTGCATACGAAGCAAGATATTTAAAACTTCCATATTTATGGTCCGAAAAATGGGGTCCGAAATTTTTCTCTTAGACAATGAGCAGAAATTCTCATCACCGAAATTCTTCGGCTAATTTGGTTCAATAAGAAAAATGAAAGAAGCCAAAGATTGCAAACAGATAAATTTGCTTTAGTTTCAGAGGTATGGAATAAATTCATTGAAAATAGTCAAATGTGTTGCCATTACAATTGATGAGCAGTTATTCCCAACCAAAACCAGATGTAGATTTACGCAGTATATGCTGAACAAGCCGAATAAATTTGGTATAAAATTCTAGTTTGCGTCGGATGTAAAAAGTAAATATGTTGTAAATGCATTTCCCTGCCATTAGCAAAAAAACTAATAACTAAAAGAACTTCCTTAGTTGGCACTATTAGACAAAATTAAGGAGAACTACCTAAATTTGCAAAATCGATAAAAGATAACATGTCTCGTTTCTGGTCAGTACTTTATAAAACAGAAAAATTTACTCCATATATAAGAGTAAACCCAATAAAAAAGTATTAGTGCTCAGTTCAAAACATAAGTCAGTGAAAATTGAAAAAGATGACAAACGTTTACCTGAAACGATTACATTTTATAACAATACCAAATTTGGCGTAGATGTTACGGATCAAATTGCTCGGAAATATACTGTGAAAGCTGGATCCCAAAGATGCCCATTACAAGTGTTTTACAATATTTTAGATCTATTCTATCTTTAGATAGAAATGCCTGGATATTTTATAAAGAAACAACAGGAGAAAATATTTCGAGAAAAGACTTTTTAACCAGCTATCCAAAGAACTTGCAATTGACTACAAAGAACTAACCGGTCGATCTACAGATCAAGTAGAAGGAATATCATCATCTATATCGTCACAAAACCAGACACATATTTCGATGAAACGTAAACGGTGTCAAATAGCACAGTGCACTAATAATAAAACGACCAATATTTGTAGTATATGCCATAAACGAGTCTGTGTTAAATGTTCTCCTAAAAAATCTGTAATTGCAAGAAATGTTTTTGACTTTTATGCATAATTATTTAAAAAATTACTGCTATTATATTACTACAAGTACAAGTATTATTATTCAGATTATATTCAATTTTTGTTCAAAAAATTACAAAATATATATAAACGTAAAAATTGCTATCTTTTCTTATATATCTCTTAGTAATTTTAGAAACAAGTCATTTTGACCCCTCCGGTAGAAGTAGGTATACGTCAATCGTCAGTAGTTCTAGTGTTAAGCAGCTTCTCATTTGTCCGAACCGCTGATATCAGGACACTACAGCATATAGCTGACATGGTACATACAAACTGATCGATCAAATACAGGCCCTTGCATAGAAAACTTTTTTATTTGCAGAGATATCTTCACGAAATTGGGCATGAAATATAATATTATCCTAAGTAACAGTATAATCTTTGAAGAAATTGTTTAGATCGAACCACTATAACATACAAGTATAGTCGCCCTACAAACTGACCGGTCCAAAACAAGATAAAGATCTTGTTATACCCTTTTATGCTATAAGAAGTATACCTGTGAATAGTTTTATAGCTTCGGTGCAGCCGAAATTAATATTTTTTCCTATTTTATAAATTTTTCATGCATTTTATATTCTCGAAGCACGGGGCTAAAGACCTTATTTAAGTTATTTGAATCCAATTTAGTATATAAAATTACCATCACTTCTTTTTAACAAAGTTTCATGTCGAGTGAAGTCAGGTGAAATCGGTCAAGAAAAGTCACAGGGGGCCAGGGAGGAATACGGCGGCTGCGGCACCATTAATGTGTTGTTTTTGGCCAATGCGTTAGCAGGAGCGTTATCATGGTGCAGAAGCCAATTTTTGTTCTTTCACAAATCCAGGCGTTTCTGGCGGATTGCTTACCCTTACAGATAATATACTTTCTATATTCTGATGATGATACGACGATTGACCAATACTATTTTCGTCACTTCATTAATGTTTTCGTCCGTTGTTGACATTTTTTACCATCGATAAACGTTGCTTTTGTCCAAGGTAGCTTCACCCTATGCCATAGTCAACATTCCGCGCACTGCCCTTTGTTTTTCACACAAAATTTCATACAAATTCTTTGATCCATTCTTTGGAATAAGCAAAAATCGAAACGAACCAAAACGCGTCCAAGCAAAACAGCTGTCAAAAATTAACTTAACATTCAAAATGGGCGACCTTGTCAGCATATTTAAGGGGTATGAGTACCAACATAACACAATAAAACAATCGACAACTTGGCTTTTAACCACTTATCATTTGTGAATGTCGAGTCATATAGCGACGTCCACGCTCCCACATTCAGTCTCTTAATGCCTTATTATAACCGTAATCCTACCTATTGCAGCATAGTGGCTACGAATAAAAGTTACGAAAAATTCTTATCACTAATTGGATTTGCGCAAATAGCATGGGCGAAACCTTTGAAAATCAGTGAACCTCGAAATGCAAATGGCAAATATCACATTGACGTTGAACGCTGAACTTGCACAGTTCTAATTCCATTAGTTTTCACTTTGAGGGATTTACGGATAGTTAACTTTGTTTTTTGTTTTTCATTACATTTTGCTCACTATTTTCATTAAAGATTAAAAAATGTGGGCCAGCGGAAGCATTTGTTATTAAATAAAATAGAATTTAGAATGCTTATGTGGGTGTTTTCATATATTTGTGGGTAGGTACAAGAGTATGTGTAAATGCCCTCTGGGATGTTAGCTTCCATATACTTGTACATTTTATACACTCGCAATATGTTGCACAGAGCTTTCGAGTTTTGTTCACCTTAGGGTTGTATGGTTTGGAGTAGTCGAGTAATATGATTATGTCTGCGGAAGTAATTTTTATTTTCCATGAAAAATATGTATTATTCATAAAAGTGTGGAAGGATATTCGATATTGAACTTATGAATTGTGTTTTGATACAAAGCTGGGAAGGTTTTTTGGGTTGTTGAAATATTTTTATTAAGCCTCTTTTATAGGTAAGTAGGTAAAGTGGCTATCTCACGACACACCTAGGCCTTTAGTAGGCCCATTGAGAACAGTAATGAAATTTAGATAACTCTAAGGCTCCCAGTGAAGGAAATTATTATATATAACCCGCGCTCTTTAAGGTTAAGTTTTTTTATGTAGTTTTCCGTGATTGTAAATCTCCTAATGTAAGTCTTACTACTTTAATTTTCGTCTTAAATTAATTATGAGTCCTCATTTTTTGGTCGACAACGTTAAAAAAAGTTTAATTTCTGAATGCGAGTTACTATCAGTTCCAAATCAATGTACACAAAATTGTTTTTTAACAAAAGTCGACACAGTTGGCATCGAGGGCGATACGCTAATCTTCTAATTGTACCCTTACAACATTTTGCACAGAGTTTAATGGTTTTTCTCTTTTAACATAGCCTCACAAACTACCAAAGTCATATTAACCAAACAGTGTGAAAATGGCTAATATCAAATACATAAAAATCACGCTCAACCCCAACAAAAAGATACTATTAGTAACGCGCAAAAGAAACATGTTAGAAGCATTATAGTTTTCTGTAAAAATGGTACGGAAGGGCTGCATGCCCTTCGGTATACAATAGGACAATGGACACGGTACCGCTCATTTTTGGTGAAATCCCATATCTGACCAACTACTACAACTACTCCACCAATTATTTTTACGAGTCATCTCATCAAAAAAGTGGTCGAAATCAGACTATAACTTTTCAAGCCCGCAGATACTAGATATGAGAATCTCAATGCCTATGGTTGATTTAATACCAAAAAATTTTTAGAAATTTTAATGAAGTTCGGAGGGCATTTCCTAATAATGATATACATAGCATGACACCATCAACTAAATACGCGGGATAAAATCGGATTACTACTTCCTTTAGCTCCCACATACCATTCCGGTTGACTTTATACAAAATATATCGCTCAACATGTAAGATATCTTAGCAAAATAAAAAAAAAAACCTATAAACTTGGATAATTTATAGTGATTGTAGTGAATTGGTTCATGAACTACCCCGGGTTCCACATACAAGGTATGTCCTAAAAATAACCGAACTTTTTGGGTATAGAATAAAATACACATATTAACTAGTAAAGTTATTGTTTATAATCAAAATAGGTCTTCTGACGCATGCGCAATAGTGTTACGACTTTTTCTTGGTGGAGAAAACAATAAAACACCTTGCAATAACCCTTTATTTTTGTTTTCTGTAAGTTACTACAATTTATTTTAAGTCTTAAGTTCTAAAAATAAAAAAAAAACATAAAATTTGTAATTATTGTATTATTTTCAGTTGTCATTTGCACGAGACAAAATAGTAAAACTGATCTAAAATATGCTAAATAAAACTTGGTAGCTTTGAAGATGGCGGCTATAATAAGGTATCCTCACACTCGCTTGTGGGAATTTAACTTGATAATTTTATTGTTGCTTTTGCATGCCTTTTTTTTTTAAAAGAGAGCAGAAGCGAGAGGAGAAATGGCGATTCGAAGACAACTATTTTTATGTCAATTAAAGAAATCTTCTTCAGCACCTCGGTTACGACTGCTTCAATGGATGGGATATCATCATAAAATACTCCTTTCATGTTGAAAATATAAAAAGTTACATCCGTTTTTTCATCAAAAACTCGTTCACTTTTTTTGGTCTTCATTTAGTTCACGTGGCACAAAACGTGCACAGACAATTCTTTTACCCAAATCTTCATTCAAAATTCTCCAAATATTGTTTTTACTCGTATTTAATCCCTCAGCCAGCATTCTTGTAGTAACATTTATAACAATTCAGCACGATTAGTAGCTTCTGGACGACCTAGCCTTTGGTCGTGATTTAAATGTTCTCATGATCCTTTTTAAATCATGCAAACCATATATAAACTTCAGTAGAGACTCATACAATCATAACCACAAACTTTTTTCATCACTTCGTATATTTCTACGATGTGTTTTGTTTGTCAAGTTTTTATGAAATTTTGATATCTGCTATAACTATAATATGTGTCATCCGATTTAGATGAAGTTAGATGCTTTTGAAAGAGGACAAATTGTATATATTATATGCTGTAAATTTTTAATAGTTAGCCCTGAATGGTAAATGATTGAAATATGTATAAAGTTCTGTTACCTTGTAGTACAATTACTTGATATTGTATACCATTTTTGTATTGTGATTTTCCTTTTACTTTAAATAAGGCTCGATGTGGCGATTAACTCTAATTTGTCCTTAAATTTCTTCCACTTGCTCACTTTCTTGAGGTAGCTTTTGTACGATGTGGCTAACACATTTCTTTCCTCCCTTATAGTTTTAAATATCAATTTTATTTAAGGATCACCAAACACATATACAAAAGAGGAAATAAAGAACGACACCTTGGAACAATGGCAAGTTCGCTTGGAGCAAGGACGACACGGCAGATGGACGGCCAGGCCGATCCGAAACATAAAAGAATGGTCTAACAGGAAACATGGTGATCTATATAAAATCGGAAAAGTCGAAGAGCCTTCCTGTATATACAAAGACACGCGCTGGCAAACGCAGCGAAATAGGATCCACACTTTGGTCGGCCGCCTAAATGTGGATAACATCATAACTGTCATGCTTCAAAACAAGGAAAACTGGAAGAACGTAAAAATTATATAGAAAAGGTACTACGGATTAAAAAACGGTATCTGGACGCAAGTAATGACATGTAAGCCTTAAGACGAGAAATATGGAACGCCACCCTGAAGTAATGCGAAAGCGGTTCCAGGGTGGGCGACGGTTCCTTAGCGGAGAGTTTTTTCGTGACCTGCAAGTCACACATACCGTTGCTGTGACGACACAATGACGATGCGGAAGGCAATTTTCTCAACCTCTTCCAAAAAAAAAGAAAAAAAAAATACATAAATGTGCTTTCGATATTTTTAGCTATATGTAAAATAAAGTTAAATTAGTTGCACAATTTACAATTTAATTATGAATGGACAGAGTATAATGATCTCTAATTATTCAATTCATCTTCGAAATGAATAGCTGATTAGATTAAAATATCGGAAAATTTCTTTAAATGTCAAATATGTACATAAAAATACCCGAACCAAAAAGCAAACAAAAATTTAAGGGAACAAGTAAGGATGAGCTAAGTGCGGGTGTAACCGAACATTTTATACTCTTGCAACTTACAAGTGTCAAAGCAGGGAAAATACCTTCAGATGTTAGGAAAACTTTATATTAAACAAGTAAGGAAGAACTAAGTTCGGATGTAACCGAACATTTTACACTCTCACAAAGTCAAATGGTATACTCGCTTAAGATTTCTTTTATATGGTCGAGTAAAAAGTTCGTTCGGTTTTTATTTAAGAGATGGCGTTATTGTCCATAGTACTAGTGTTACGTGTCGTATTATACGTCATACTATACGGCGCTGAAAACGTGTTTATTCGCGCTAAAAGGTTGTCTTTGATAGTTTTCGATGGATTGACTCAGTACGTTGTGAGCGCTCGTCAAAGAGAAAATTCGCTATATATATATTCTGCCAATAACTGGACCGCTTGAAGGCAGCACTCATCCAGAAGAGGCCATCTTTGATCAACAGAGGCCAAATTGTGTTCCATCAGGACAACGCCAGGCCACACACGTCTTTGGTGATGCGCCAGAAGCTCCGGGAGCTCGTATGGGAGGTCCTAATGCAACCACCTTATAGGCCGGACCTGGCACCAAGTGATTACCATCTTTTCCTGTCCATGGTGAACGCGCTTAATGGTGAGAAGTTGGCCTCAAGAGAGGCCTGTGAAAATTCCCAGTTTTTTGCCAATAGGGACGCAGCCTTCTACGAGAGGGGTATAATGAAGCTAGCATCTCGTTGGCAATAAGTTTACGAACAAAACAGCGCTTATTTGACTTAAATCGGACAAATGTACACAAAGTTGTCATCTTTTGAAAAATCAATAAAAACCGAACGAACTTTTTACTTGACCAATATTTTAATAATTAAAAGTAGGAACTGCCGCCTCAGTTATTTACTGACAACACCATTTATAATATGAATTTCAATTATATATCTTACACATTGACCGATATTTTCGGTAAAAAATCAACATATTCAGTACCTAGGGGCTTGAACAGTTTTGGTTCAATTTAGACAATTTTTGGTCACAAGGTGGCATACTTTAAACATATTATTCACCCAAAGTTTTATCCCGATACAATCATTGTTGGAATTTAAAATGGTGTTATATAAGAAGAAGTGATTGTAATCCGATTTCACCTTTTTTCGCGCCATAACATAGAAATATAAGAAGAGTGTTTTGTACCGAATTTGGTTGAAATCGGTTAAGCAGATCCCAAGATATGGGTTTACACCTATAAGTGGGAGGTGCCATTCCAAAGTCATCTCATACCATCTCAGAGATAAAATTTAATGTCTCTGGCGTGTTTAGTGCTTAATTTATCACGCTTTTAGTAGTTTTAAACAGTACCGTTATATGGGGAGTGGGCGGCGTTGTCACCCGATTTCACCCATTTTCACACTGTCGATAGAGGTGGCAGTGGTCCGATTACGCTCATCTGCAATGCCAACCGTCTCACGGTACCAAGAAAAATGTGTACCCGATTGGTATTAGGTGATACAAACAAAACTATTATACTCTGTAGCAACATGTTGCGAGAGTATAAAAATGTTGCGAAACAATTAAGCATTTATTATTCGACGAAATCGTAAATGGATTACAATCAAATTTGGTATTTTATTAAGTTATATTATAGATCCCAGACTCATTTAGTTATATTTTACTTCGCGCCAGCTAAAATTGTATTAAAATCATCATCATATGAGATATATGAGATATAATATGAAAACGTCAAGTTTAGAATCGCAATTCATTATTTTAGGGATATAAGGTTTGGACCAAAGTCTAGACCAATTTCATTCACATTCCCACACAACTTTTAGGAAAACTTGTTCATTTAATTTTATTAAAGTATCACACAATTTGTTAGGTGAAAAGTCGGGAATTATTATACAGGGTATTGGGGACAGGGAAAGGGATGGGCTGATTGAGTTAATTTTGACCTTGGTAAGGTATTCTTGAGAGCATATTTTTAAGCAATTTTATAAATATATAACACATTGAGCGACATGTTCGCTATAAGTTTTGGGAGTTGGATAATTCATAGACTAAATTCACATATTTTCGGTATTAAACTACAGAATATCCAATATTAATCAGTTAATTTTGCTAAGATACCATACCTGTGCAGATTCTATCGCGACACCTGTCCGAACTGTCCAGCGTGTACAGAGTGTATAGAAGATTCTGAACAGGTATTATTTTACTGCCCTCGCTTCGTAATTATAAGGGAAAAACTAAAAACTACACTCGGTGGTAGTTTTACGGTAGCAAATTTGACGACACTCATGTGTCTGTCCACTAAAAACTGGAAAACTGTCAGCGAAGCGGCAGCCTCAATCATGACAAAACATCAGTCCGTACCATAGAAGAGACTTAAGTGTCTTATCACTCCCACGAACTAATACTTAAGCAGGTGCTTCCGCGGGAGGGATATGCGATGGGAGTAGGTTAAGTTCAGCGGATTAAAGTTCCGCACTTCGATGCTTTCCACTACTTAAAAACAAACAAAAAAAAAACACCCCTGCAGACATCACACCATGCTGACCACCCACACATACACATCACATCACACTACCACTTTCACAACCCAACACTCAAAAGGGACTAACACAAGACCAGAGCCCCATCTTTTCGTTCGCATTTCGAGCAGTATAGACGTCCGCAACTTTCGCCCGAGTATTAATCGGAAGCCTTTATATATCTTTTACATATTTTTGCAATAAATCGGTACAATAAATTTTGAATTGTGTGTCCGCTTTATTTTAAGTGCTAAAGTTCAAAAAAGGTGAGTCTAGAAGTTAAGAAAATATATCTTAATTTTATTAAGATAGCTCACATATTGGCCGATATATGCGGTATGAAGTAAACTGGAATTTCGAAAATTATTCAATAAGGTAGTATATGGGAGCTAAGGGAAGGATTGACTCGATTCAATCCATTTTTGACATCCATGCATACTATTTTATTATCAGAAAGAGACCACCTCCGAAATAATATATCTCACAGATCGACCGTTATTTCTGGTAAAAAGTTAGCACCAGCCACTGGGGTCCCCATATTCGGGGATTATTAATTGTTCGACTTAATATGGTATACTTCAAAGGCACTATTTGTGCAAAGTTAAATCCCAATATATTCTTTGGTATTTGATTTGTATACTGGAAAATGTAAGAATCATATGGAATTTAAAGTTATGCTATATGGAAAGTTAATTTTCCCCTTTTCGCACTGAATGTGAATGTTAAAATAATCCTATACTTCGACAAAATTTGGTAGGTCGAAATTGCTCAAGTAGTTCCGGGGATATATGATTTCACCTAAATGTCGTCCAATTTAGACATCGGCTGCTATAAAACCCCCTTGTACCATCCCGGATGTAAAGCTTAATGTCTCTGACGCATTTAGTAATTGACTTATCTCACTTTTAGCAGTCTTTAGCAAAACCGTTATATGGGAAGTAGCCGATGTTATCATTCGCTTTCATCCATTTTCACACTGTCGAAAGAGGATAAAAAAATTTTATTCTGTGCAAATTTGGGTCAAATAGCTCGAATGGCTTAGGAGACATATACATTAAACTAATTAGGGGCGGGACCACGTTCACTTTTAAAATTTTTTCAACCATAGATGCTTCTCCCTAATGCAATTCTCTACACCAAATTACATGTTTATATCTTAATTTAGTGCTTAGTTATGGCATTTCATAGGTTTTCGATTAATGGTGTTCTGTGGGCGTAACATTGGTTCGATTATACCCATCTACAATATAAAACTTCTTATGGTGCCAAGGAACATGTGTGCCAAGATACATCAAGATATCTTAATTTTTACGCAAGTTACTGCATGCACGGACGGACGGACGAACAGACAGACAGACATCCGAATTTCAACTCGTCTCGTTATCCTGATCATTTATATACAATATATATTTAACTCGATTATTTTTAGGTGATACAAACAATCGTTAGGTGAACAAAATTATTATACTCTGTAGCAACATGTTGCAAGAGTTTAAAAATACCAACAATTCTCAAATCGATTGGTCTCAATTATTCCTTTCGTAGATGTACAAAGCCAGGTCATCTAGTAATCTAATAAAAGACTTTCCAATAGAAAGATCTCGTAATGCTACGAAATCCTTGCAGTATTCGTAAATAATCATAATAAAACTCTAATCAAATAAACTCAGGAATAAATTTAATTAACAACTACTATTCGTTTCTTACAATGTATAGCAAACTATTATAATCTCAAAACTAAAACAACACTTTGTAATACAAATCTCTTCTTTTCAGACAATCCAACAAATGAAACTCATTTCTGTCCAAGCAATGCAATAAATGTGAAAAGCTCACACAAAAGCAAAATATTAACCGTTTATACATACATACATACTTTCTCGTACATACAAACTTTTCAAAGACTTCACACGCTCAGCGAAAACTTATCAAAGCTTGTATTACGAAACGAAAAAGATCTGGATAATTTTTCATAAGATATACTAGAAATACGCAGCATTACTGAGGAACAAAATGTCGAATGTAAGTCACAAGGATTTTGAAAGCATTTTATTCATGTTAAGTAAAATTTCGAAACAGTAAGATAGTGAAATTTTAGAACTGACGAAATTATTGACAACTTTCTTCGTATTATTATTTGACCGTCGCCTTGAATATGCAGTAGGTAGCGTCTTCGATTCGGTAAGCGTAAGAGAGTAGCGAATCAAACACATTGTACCAGTTCAATGTTCAAAAAGACTGACAGCACTGAAAAATAACTGTCGAAAATTCCTTTTGTGAATTGGATCAATTGTTTGAAAACCCTGAGCTATTTGATATTTCAAAAAAAAAAAATACTTTCGAGTTCTTATGCCTTATATTTTTAGATTTAGACATTTAAATCATAATAAATTTTGTGTATCATTTTGATAGTAATTGTGAATAAAAGATATGACGTTTATACCATATTAGTGAGGTTTCCTCATACTCTCTTGAATCGAACCCAACTCGCCACTTTGTTGTTGCTTTTACATATAAATTTTTTATAACCAGAACAGTGTTCAAAAATAGCGAACAGAGAAAAGATGAAGCGATGATAGCTTTTGTATGATATTACTCTCTCCAACTGTTGAATAGAAATTTCCCAACGCCCAATTTCCAATTCCCAATTTATCCTGATGACGACTGGGCCATAAAAGTTCATTTCTAACAGTCCATGGGACAGATAAAAATTATAAATCAGTAGTTCTTGCAGTGGAGAGTAAATATAATATATGGTAAAACCCTTCAACCTTAATATATTTAACCTTAATGACAGCTCCAAGGCATTAGGCAGTCTCACAGAGACACTTCACCACTTATCCCAAATGCATTAACGCTGTAGTTAGTCCTTTTAAGGCAATTTTAAATATACCAACACTCATACATACGCTAAAATTTCATAAATAACTGTAAAAATACAGCTTTCGGTCTCAACTATTTTTAATGAATAATTTATCAAATGTTTCTCTAGTTGGCTCCGCCTCCAAATCAATTCTAACTCAATTGTAGTCTATATCCTTATAATCCCCATCATTACATGATGTACATATGTATATGTATATAACATTATTCCTTTTTCCAATTACAATAATCCGATTGCTCAATGCCATTGCCAATTTCCTGCTATCGCACACTTACAAATGCCTAGTTACTCTACATGGATGAAACGAATTGCAATGGCATCTACGCATCCAAAGTCAATAGTACGGCAGCACCACTAACAACAACAACATCAAACAACAATAACATAACTAACTGCAACGAAAGCAGCAACAATATTAAGCATTCAACCAACAATATTATGAGCGCTACTAACAACAGCAACAACAATAGCAACGTTAACAGCAATAGCAGCAGTAACATCATAAATAACGCTAGCACAAATAATATCAACAACATCAACATCATGAATATAGCTGCCTCGACTGTGGCAATGACAGCCACGGTAGCCAACGCCAACGTCAACGCTGCCGGCACCAGCACCGGCCTCACGTCAGCCACACTACCCACATCCGTCTCCAACGAGGATCTAAGTCAGAGTCTATCCGAGTACACGGATGCAGATGAAAGCATATCAGCGCCGACCGAGTTTCTGGCTGAGGTGAGTATACATGTGTAGGTATGTAGATTATTAACATAAGAAGTTAAGAATAGCGCGTAGATGATAAAAAGTGCAGAGGAGCTGAATGCCGAAGTGCCTTCAGGCTTACAATTTGTTCTACTGTCTGCCAAGTCTATTCACTGCGCTAAATATTCGCGTAGCTGCCAATTGCCCTCTGCCACTTGGCAATTGACTAGCTTCAATAAGGGCAAAAGAAAAATTATAATACCCTTCCCAAAGACATTTTTTATAGCATAAAAAAGTATAAAAAATCTGTATCATGATTTGTTCAATGGCAGCTACACTTTCTTTTGAGATTGTAGCGATGGCTTGGATAATAACCCAATTGCCAAATTTCATGAAGATACCTTGTCAAATTACTCTCTCTCTCTCACACGTTTCATGCCCAAAACATTCGAGAAAATTGAATGGCATAAACTGATTGATATGCCAATACCTCTGCACTTTCCCTAATAGTGATTCGGCGATGTTCAACAACAATTCACTCCCTTGAAACAAAGTTGACCCACTGAATGCCGAAGTCAATATTTCAAGTGCCTTGGAGCACTTTTTTCCCATTTTTAACGCAAAATTTAATACATATTCTTTGATCCATTTCTTTCAAAAGTCAAAAAACATGACTAACCATTTCTGTTGTCAAATCAAACTGCTAATTTTGTTGTTGTAGCGGCAGAATTCTGCCGAGTTGACAGTCCTTGGCCGGATAAAAATCCGGGTCCGTTCCGGTAACGTAGACCCGACTGTCACGGGAACGGCGTCTAATGCAAGCACATGATAATCATATGTGTCTGATTATAACAAAAACAAAATATCGATTATCGAATGTACATATCCCGTGAAAATGCAAAGATCATATGTACTTTGCATTCATAGCAAAATCTGTTTAATGGAGTTTAGTTATTAAACGTGACAAAAAGGAAAATATGTTGGATAAATAAGAAATGTAATGACTTAAGAAGACCTTCCCTTATAAAAAAACGCTCTCCATCTGTGATCTTTTTTACAATGGGCTCTTTTTAAAATTTTAAACGAACTTACAGATTAAATAAGTTTTACTTCAAGTCCGAAGTGCAATCGAAACTTTGCCGATCTTTAATTAGAAAACTTTATTGTTCTATGCTTTGGCATTTCTAGCTGGCTTTCTTCGAGATATTTGAAAACTACTTGTTATCAACAATGCATCTAGTGCCGCATATACTGTTAACCTTAATATCTTCAATACCCTGGCAAGGGACCATCGTATTTGAATATCTGGCGAGTATGGTAAGACCTAGCATTTCTTGTTTACTTCGATGCAGATATTATATAATGTTTGTCAGCAAACTATGATTGCCCCACCTAACTTTAAGGCAACCCCTGACCTGCTAATATAAGAGCTCAAAGTCAAAGAACCTATTATAAAGGTTAATGAAATATAGATATTTAATTTTTGAAACCATGCTCTAAAATGGAACCTCCCATATATAATATTAGTTATTTTGGTAGTTGCGAACTCGAAGAGAATGAGAAAAGATTCCATGACTTCAAACATAGTACTGGACAGACATAGAATGCCTATCTACAAGAAGCATACTGGAAAGTAAATTCATCGATGAATTATAAAGTGGTTTAAATACAAAGATGAGCTGTAACACCAGAAGTATTAAGACCACATTGCACTCTATCAATTGGCTCTGTTTAACGCCTGATTTAATTTTCTTGGTTTTAATATTGTACATATATAAAAATACAGTGGAACCAATTTTTATTCTCCTTAAAATTAGTATAAAATTAGTATAACAAATATATAGCTAATTTCAAATGGATATGCATAATGGAAAATTAACTTTATTTTTGACATACTCTCTATTTACAGTTTCTCTCAGCGGTGATGCTTAAAGATTACAAAAAAGCCTTGAAATACTGCAAACTGAGTAAGTTCTATTTGAATATTATAATATGTTGAAATACTTACAAACCAAAACTTTTAATTAACTCGTAAACTTTCCCAAACAACAACTATCTCTACACCTGTCGCAACTGTCACCAATCTATTTAACAGTTTTACAATACGAGCCAAACAACGCAACAGCCAAAGAATTTTACCCGCTTATAATCGAAAAGTTACGAGGTAAGTTGCCCAAGTTCATACCGACAGCACCAAAGTAAAATACGAAACAATGACACCGTTATTGAATTAGAAACTCCACTTTATTTTCTGTTAAAAATATACTTGTATAACACAAATAGACGCAGCGGCCAGCGACAGTGATGAGAATTACAATAAATCGTCTTCACCCGAGCCAGTTTTAGAATTGCAATCCTCGGATCCATCAGCAGGTGAAAGTGATGAGGCGGCTTTTGAAGACCAACCGATCGGTATTATTGATAATGGCATTGATGAGTATGGATTGGAAGAGGACAATTGCCACTCTTTAGATGCTTCAAATAGCCACGAACTGAATGTGAGTAGTGAAAGCGGCAGTAGTGATTCCGCGGCTGGTAGTTTAAGTGAATCGATGGATGACGATGTCGAAGGAGAAGAAGTCGATGACGAGGATATTGATGGAATTGATGACGATGATGTTGAGGATGAAGATGAAGACGACGACGATGATGACGAAGTGGAAGATGTCATTAGCAGCAGCGGTGATGACTTGCCAATCGATGATCCGAATTCGATTGAGGCTGCAGCGGGTACCGGCAACAATTCACTTTCGTCGCGTAATTCATCTAGTGGCTGTGGCGGTAGCGGACGCAGTCGAAGCGACAACACAACGCACTCATACTCCAGTTTACTGCTGGAAGAGGAGGACGATATAGTGCCGATTAATTTGAAATTTACCAAAGAGCTGTCATCGCCCGATTTGGATGTCAGCAATGGTGGGTAGCGCCTGTTTTTTGTTTTGTTTTTAAGATTTTTATTTTAATCTTTGTCGTTGCTTGCGGTGTAGGCAACAAATTACCATCAACATCATGTAGCGACTCGGAATCACCAACGGAACCGCTAACACAACGGCTCGTCGCCATTTTGCGCTCAAAGTGTGGTGTGTCCAGCGCTGGTGACAACTATTGAAGGCAGTGAAAGCGAAACACAAACAAAACGCATTTGCAAACTGCATAGTTATCAGGAAAATACAAACAAAATCTAGAGTTGAATATACATATGTATATATGTACTTCACTCACTTGTATCTATTTAAGCGTTATATAATATATGTACTTGTAGTTTAATATATGTATATATTCATCTATTTATTTATTTACTGGAATACAAGATAACTAAAATCATATACAACATGTCAATACAGCCATCTATCTTTGAAAAAATGTGCGAGTGTGTGTGTATTTAAAATTGAGCAAACATGTATTATATGTATGCAGTGTATAAGTATGTACTTAACAACTGAAAAGTTGATTTTCTTGATTATCAGCTAATATTTATCAATCATAACCACTGGCGTTTTCCATTAAAACTTGCCAATCACTCTCAAATTCACTCAAAGATTGAGCTTTGAGAAATTGTTTAAGAATAATGCTCAAAAAAGCGTAAAATATTAAAAGAAAACCATATAAGATGATCTAGTCACACTCAAAATACGTATACTTTTCTATATACATGCATATATAAACAATATTTGATAAACTTTATATAAATATATTTACTTAGATACTACTATTATTAAAAACCGCTATTAGATTTTGAAACTCTTTTCGTTGAGAGATCTGAGATCTGAAAACATCGGTAAACCAGTTGGTTCACCTTAAAGCTCGAATTTTTGTACAAAAATTATTAAAATCGTAAATTTTAACGAAAAAAGTTTCAAAATTTCTCAGCCAACACTCTTTATCAGTGACCTATAAATTTATATACTCTTTTGCATAATAGTCTAGTAACTAGTAAAAAATACCTAGTGCAGAGAACTGACTCATATTATTGTATAAATAAGAGTTTAGATCACAAGAAAGGTGGACTTCTAAAGGATTTTATATGCATGCTTTAGATTTAGGTTGTATACTAGCGAATTTGATAAATTAATACATTAAATATTTATTTAGTCTATGTACACATATATATTATTAAAAGTACATAATAGGCAAAATATTGTCGCATAAAAATATATTCAATATTCACTTAGATTTAGACGAATATGTTGAATTTCATTTTGAAAAATCGTTCACCGAAACAAAAGACGAAATCCGAAATATCAAACAAAGGAACTCTTATAGAAGAGCTATCTTGTTAACACTAAGATGGCTATTTAGGGAGAACCACTCATCCAGTTTTACTTCAAGGAAGGTTTAAAAATCCCAACAGAAACAGAAAACAGAAAAGAAAATTAAAAAAAAAAATCCTGAAAAATCTGTAAACATTCAAATAACATTCATATGAGCTAAAGTAAAGTCCACTATATGAATGGGGCTATATGAAATAAAAATTGTATGAAATTTGACGGACCTTAGTACTTAAAAAAGGAGAAGGTGAAAACAATTTTGCGCAGTTTTTATTGATATTTGAAAAAAGTGTAATGTATTATCTCATTTCCGGGCTAAAAGATCGGCCAAGGAAGAGTATGGTTTGTAATAGTGTATTTTTAATAACGTAATAGCTTAAGAATTCTTCATTTTTTCAGTGAGCATACTGGTTTTCATGTCTCAAGAAAGAGTCACTAAAACAAAATGATGTTTTTAATGCGTGATTTTATTAAATATAATTTTTTTGAATGTTTGAAGTAATGCTCGAAGTAGTTATAGTATGTTGCAACTTATTTTAAATGTTTAAGTAAAAAAAAAAGTTAAGTTGTAATAACCGGTTTGGGAAAATATTTTTTTAGAAATGTAGCCACCTGTTGAAAACTTTTTGTTCAATAAACTGAACGGAATAATTCAATGTTTATAAGATGATCTTCAATGTATAGATCTCATAATTAATACAAAATGTATTGAAACTAAATTAGACAGAAGTAGAAGTAATAGAACATTTTTTCGAAATACTTCCTGAAAGTGAATGTCGGCAACATCAATTTTAAGGTTCACTTTTTTCACAAATTTTTTAATTATACATTAGTTATAGATCCAGTCAAACATTGCTGTAGCTATGGTATACATTATGGTATACATAATGGTACTATTATAATAAACTATTCAATACAGTGAAAGTATTATTTACGAATAAAGTCGAAAACGTTATTGCCGATAAAAGAATACAAGGGATTGTAATTAAGGTTTAATTTTGAAAAAGTTTGATACAAATATTTGTCAATGAAAAAAATTATTTTTAAAAATTTGAACGGAAAATTGCTAGCAAGCCAAAAGCGACGAAACTTATTTATAGACATAGCGAAAGCCAAACAAATGGTAAATGTAGCCTTCTAAAGACTGGTCTGCTGCAACAGGACCATTTCTCCATCAGAATTTTCAGGCAAAATGGGTGCTTCAAAAATATTTCCGGTCATCTTTTTTTTAAGCAAACATTAATTCCACCAAGACCAGTTTAGCAGTTTACCCCGGACAAAAAGTGGCACATAATTTTTATATATATGGATATATATAACTGTCGATGCATACCAAGAAGTTCGTTCACCGAAGTTTAACAAAATTAAACCATTTAAAAATACGTAGAATATGTGATTGGTTAGACGATAGGCAAGTACTATATTTGTATTGATTAGAAGGTACTAAACGAACATATCGTACAAAGAAAAGTATATAATTTTGCTAAATTAATTAGAATGACAGTTTACAAATCGAAAATCTATTTCATAAGCATTAAATCACAAACTGAACTACCATATACTACATACTTGATTATATCTAATAAATAGTTAATAATCATAATCATAAATGAGTAAATAATAGAACTGATGGTACTTATATATTATCATAAACATTAAAATGAACACTTGAAATTATCACAAACATTCAACAATTAATTCATATTTATGTATGTTGTCTTACAAATATTTTTTTTTGCAATACATAATAAGTATATAATATAATATATATGAATCCACAATATAATTTTTGAAAATACCTATTATCACCACTTAAATACCTATTTAAAATTCGAGTATACATAACTGGTTTAAAATTGCAAATGTTTCAAAAACATTATTGAATTGGAAAGAAAGAGGAAAACACAAACACTCGTAAAAGTAAGCTAACATTATAAAGACTTCATTATTAGAGAGACTTTAAACTACGAAGATGATGGATTGTTGCATATTAATTTTCAAGTGCATATATAATATACATACCATGTAAGTATATATAAGTTATTATCATAACTATTTACTATTTATACTAATCTATATACTCAATTTAGGTGCGTGTATTAACATAACATAAAGTATGTATGTAAATGTATTTATTATGTGGTATGTATTTATATGTAGTTTTACTGTACATTTGTTTGTTAATAACAATGTTATATATCAAAGAAAATATTAATATTAACATTCGGATGAGAAAAAAGTATGGAAGGAACTTTTCTGAAACTTGACACATAGATACATATATACTTATAACATGTAAAACACAAACGCATACATATTTCGTATAAACCAAATAAAAAATATATCAAACAATATTTCGTAAACATGCAAAGAAAGCAGCAATAATTGAGTTTTTCATTAATTTCCGGAACAGGTACGATTTATAAAAGTCTTATTTATTGTTCATATGTATGAAAAATAAGCTCACAAAAATTGAGATCTCCCAGTTGTGAAGGAAAGCCAAAAATATAGACTAGTTTAAATCATATTGGTCCTAAGGGCCATGCAAGATGTTTTAACTCGCAAGACTGTTTTAACTGACACCTGAACAGTTTATAAGAAAGAACTGAAACGGTCCGACTCCATCTTCTTCCATAGAACTAGGACAGAAGCACCTTGCAGACAATTAGGATCTTGTTAACGGTGATATTAAAATGTGAATGCACCATCTTACAATCCCAAAAACATTACAGTTTCCAACGATTACGATGTGGTCAGGTGATGACAACAGAGAGGGCCACAACGCAGATAATACATTCATATTAAACGCTAAGCCACATAATGTTTAGGAAAACTTGTCCACTTAATAACATTTAAATATCACACATTTTCACCAACCTAAACAGTTTAAAGATAGGAAATCACTTATAGAGTATATATATTGAGTGCAGAAAAGGTCTGAGCTGGTTACACAAACTTTTGACATCGCTCAAATATACTTGAGAACATATTTTCAAACAATTTCATAAATATATAACTCACACGCTGACCAACATATTCGGCATAAGGTTTGTTAGAATAAAATATAACATAACTATTTGTAGTATATAGAAGTTGGAGTAATTCGTCAACCAATTTCACATATTTTTGACATAAAACTATAATATACTCAATATTATACGTTCAGGTAATATTGCTAAGATATCTTACATATTGATCAATATATACATAATAAAGCCAACTGGAATTTCCAAAATCTTTGTATTAGATATATGGGGCTAAGATAATTATTTTATCCGATTCAACCCATTTTTGATATACATGCATACTATTATCTCAAAGAGATTCTCTCCGAATTGCAATATTTTCGATAAAAATTTCGCAATAGGGTCTGTGGTCTACAACTTTTTGCTTTTTTCGAAGCTACCTTCACTATTATTAAAAATTTTATACATATGTGGTGTCATACGGTATAGTTTTTAAAATATTATTAAGTCGCATATAAAAATTTTACTACAAAGAGTTTTTAGATATATGTAAATAGTGCCAAAAAGTAGTCGATTGTGCGTAAAATGCTGAGTTTAAAGGGCGGAAAATGCACAATTGTGCGTACTTTTCCATCACTGCTGGGAAGGGCTTCATAGAAGCCACTCTCAAACTTACATATATTGTAGAATGTGCTTTGCACTGTTTTGATATTATTACATTGCAGCGTGAAAACGAGCCGCACAAATTGGCAAATTGCGTGAACATAAAACATTGTGTAACATATCGTAGAGTTTAAAATCTATGTGGCTTATCAGAAGATTCAAAAAATATAGTTTGAAGTATGTTATAGACAACAAAATTAAGAGTAAGAACTCTAGTCCTTGGGATAATGGATATTCTAAGAATCACTAATTCTTAATGTGTGACCTTCTGCTGTTTAACTGCTCTTAAATTCCACAGCTCTTCAAGAAATAATTTTTTCTTTTGCCCCAGATATCTTAGCAAATTTAGATGTTTTCAGGAATCCAAATTACGATTGTGTCCTTGTTTTTATGATTATTGTATGTCTTATATTTTGATCAATTATCAAACTATTAGTAATAAAAATAATCTTCCAGTCATGATTGGGATTCTGCGCATTTTTTTTTGTGCATACAAACACCACGTTATCCCCGTCTCAGTTCCCTTATGCGAAAAATTGTGCGGAAGATATCAGTAAAAATTAAACGTGGAGATATCTGGGCTTACAGTCAACGAAATGTCCTGATTTTACGTTACAAAAGTTATTGGCATGCCCTAAGAGCCAATGATATCTCAAATTACAGAAATCGGGGAAGTGTACCATTGGACCAAGGGAATGCGAGGTTGAAACATCTACGCCAAAGATAAAATGAACTCAGTGATTTAATACGTGGTCAAGATATTGTTTCAATTATTGTATTGTACATTCGTAGAAAATTTGCGAAGCTTAGAATAGTAAGGATGAAAGGGGGAATATTTAATGGTCCTCAAATAGGGCAATTCATGAAAGATGCAGACTTTGTCAAGGTTATGACTGTTCCACTGTAATTGAATCTAAGAAAAATGTTGTGTTGATGGTTGAAAATTTTTTGCGGATCTATAAATAACCAAATTATGAAGAAATTTTCAAAAATATGCTGACAAACTTTCAGAGAGAGCAGTTCCACTAGGATCTAAACGGTATGGAAGTAAGGTACCAGGTTTGTTGGGATCGTCATATGATGGCAGATCACTGCTGGTCCTTAAATAGAGATTGTCAACTTGAAAATTATAAAAAAAATATTCATAAAAGGAGTTTTATTGGAATATAATATATGTTTTCGCATTTTTCTCTCAGTTTACTTGAATGTGTCTTTGTTTTTCAAAACAAAACTAAAATTATAAATAAATATAATATTTTATTTCATGTTTTCTGATTTTTGAAATGGAAAAGGGAAATAAAAGTTTAAAAATAAACGAAAGTAAATCTCGCAAATCATTGATAGTTTTATAATTTTTAATATTCAAAATAAATCTTATATCGAAGGCAATAAAACCATTGTAGACAGTTACTAACAAGCATATTTTCCAATCAAATATTCCTAGGTATCTCACCAACACATTAACAATAAAAAAGTTAAAAGTATAATTTCATAAAGACATTAGCACAATAGCAGTTGTTGTATTATTTATCGATTATTCTTAATAAAATACAATAAGTAAACTCGGATACATATGTAAATATACTCAAACGAAAAAAGCAAATAGGTAAGATTATTTCCTTCAGTTGAATAGCTGATATGAAAATCAAAATTCCTTAAAATTTCCTAAAGTTGTATTCGTACATAAACGAACGAACAATTCCAAATATGCCGTGTTAATGACCTCATTATTTTTCAAGTTGGTGACTTTTGGATGATATATTGTTTACACAAAGTCATCGATAAAATCATCACGATAATAAAGCATATGCTCATCACCTCAGTGAAAATAAAATTTTAACGCCGTTAGTCATTCATTACTCATAATCATCTTATTTATCCTTCTCACTGTTGACATCCCGGAGACATCGCCTAAAAGTTAATCGTTCATGTCTTCATAAGACACAGAACTTTGAACAACTTGCCTAGAAGAGGTTGTCATCCCTTTAGACACATTAAAGTTACGCATTATCAATTGGCAAATCAACTAAGCGGCAAATGTAAATCTGAAACAAAAAAAAAACATTTTTAGACCAAGTCAAGGAACCCATTAATCCGGGTTAACGTATAGGAAAAGTCAAACAGTGATTGTTCTTTTGAAAGGCTTGTCTGATAAACAAAAAATTGTTAAACTTCTTGACATTTCTAGGCAGACTTTAGACCGGAGTAATCGTAAATATTTGCGCTTTAGAAGTAATTGACGCATCAGATAAATTCTTTTTTCATCTAGCAAGGTGGAACTAAAACTTGGTCTTAAGGGGTATAAAATATATATATACATATATATATATACTTGTATTATGGTGTCTTTCAACCTCTCTATAACGAATTTTCAGACTCAGAAAAATATAGATCGAAACTATTTTTGACCTTTACTTAACGAATTTTTTGATCCACAACCTTTAGTTGTGTTCAGTTATATGAATATAACGAATGACTGCTTTTCTCGTCAGCTGTTTGACTGTAGTCAAAAACATCCCCCCCTTAGTTAATCGCTTTTTGACTATAGTTTGCTTTGCTCGCAGCTATTTGCGACTTTTCCAAGAAGCTGAGGATGCAAAGCTCAAATTTTCAATTCCTCTTTCGCTGCAACTACGATCACTACCTACAATCTTCCGTAAAACAGTTTTTTTAAAAACTAATTGTAAACTTCGTCCTTTGATCCAGTAAATTCAGTTGCAATGGCTAAAAAACGTAAAAGGTGTTCGTTAAGTGTTGCAGAGAAACGAAAAATAATCAAGTTTGTAGACGAAAATCCTTTAGTAAACCTAAACTACCTTGTTATAACGAATCAAGTTCAATTTAACCTCAATATAATAAACCTCACTGTAACCAATAACTCGATATAACGAATATTTTCTAGGTTCTTTCAGATTCGCTATATCAAGGTTACACTGTATATATTGTAAATATAAACATACCATATATGAAGAGTAAAGTCAGAAATACGTTTCAAAATCGTGAATATCAGTTATAAGGGTGCTAAGGCAAGTTTTCGTCCGATTTCATTCATTTTAGATACAAAGATTCACTGTTATTAAAAAAACAAGTTTTCTCAATTTCATTAAAATAACTAGCACATTGGCCGATATGTGGTTTATAAAGTCAGCTTGATAGTGGAAAATTTTTATATTATTAAAACAACGGTAAGTTATTTTCAAAAAAACATTTCCCCGAATTCTAATTATTTATCTTACATATTGACCGATATTTTCGGCAAAAAGTCAGCCATAGGCTCTGAGGTTCAGATTTCCGGTATTTGGTGGCTTGAATAGTTATGGTCCGATTTTTACAATTTTTGACGTTAGATGGCATACCTTCAAGGCACTATTTGTGCAAAGACTTATCCGGATACATTGGTTAATTAAAATGAAACTTAAAATTGTGTTAGTAGGGAAGTAGGCGTGTTTTTTGTATGATTTTGCTGATTTTCACACTGTAATGTATGAATATCAGGTTAATATAATATTACGTACCGAATATGGTTGAAATCGGTCGTGTAAGTCCCGAGTTATGGATTTTCCCCTAAATGTGGGCGGATTCCTATAAAGCCCTCTCGTATCATCTAGGTGTAAAGTTGTATGTCTTTGAAAAATTAGGTATTGATTTATCGCGCTTTAAGTAGTTTTTAACAAATCCGTTATATGGAGAGAGGGCGGGGTTACAATCCGATTTCATTCATTTTCTGTCGATAGGGATTCTATGTACAATACA